TGCATTAATGTAAATATACAATATATTTTAGATATACTACTTTTTAAATTAAATAATACAGTATAATGAAGTTTTTTTATAAGTTAATCTTTTTTGAGCTTCTAAATAAAGTTTTAGTTTTAGAGGTTTTTTTGATTCTAATAGTGTTAGATTACCAAAATTGGCTTGGTATATTCAAGTTAAAGATGTAAATATAGAGATTTTTAAATTGGTAGTTATATATACAAAGTATTATAATCTTTAGTAGTGTTTTAAACCAGCTATAGTTAAGTTAGCTTAGCTAGTTAAGTCATTTATACAATATGATTAGCTGGCTAATATGATTGAGTTATATAACTTTATATTAGTCTAAAAATATATCAAAAATGTTTATTAAAAATTATACTTTTATAGTATAAAGATATTAATAAGAAGATTTTAAATTTTATAATACATAATATTAATTAATTAAATTGATTAAAAAACTTTATATATAAATAAAATAGCTTATTATAAGTAAAGTTTTAAACAAAGCTTTATTTTTATTAAATATCTTAAATAATAACTATATTCTATTTAATAGATAATCCATCTGTTATTGGAAGAGGATCTGCAAATTTTATAAATATAGTAAATTTTACTATTGAGCTAAATGTGAAGATATTATATATAAAACTTTTTTTACTAAGTAAATTATAATTGGATTTATAATAAGTTGTAGAGCTCATCAAGATATATTTAATGGTAATAAAAATATTAAAATTAGGCTAGTAGTTCTTAAGAAATCTTTAAAACTATTTTATTAACATATAAATTTTCTTTAAAAAAAATTGATTTTTTTTAAGAAATTTTATATATTAGTGAAATATTTTTTGAAAATTTCTCAAAAATAGTGATTGAATCTGAGTAAGTAACTACCCAAATCATCTGTTCATTTGTAGGTAACCCAGATTATATTGTGACAACTTGGATGAAAACAAGTGAATTATTTAACAAGTCACTTGTGGGTTATAGCTATTATCACTAAGCTAATGTGTAGTATTTTAGATCCAGAGCAACAATATTTTAATTTTTTAATACAATTATATTAATTCTTATTATGTTATTAAAATTTATTTTAATAAAATACTTTGCTAATACAAGAATATATATTTAGTATAAGAATAAATTTTGCATATATCTTGGCAACATAGCTATATTGACAAGTAAAAAAGTATTGTTTTTTTATAACAAGAACAACTATTTTAGAATTTTAATTACTTAGTAACTATTACTTCTTGACTAATTTCTTTATAGAACAGTCTATTACACAGTATTTATATAATTAATCTTCTTTATTAGTACAATAAAATTGTTATAATCCTTTAAGATTTAAAAAAAAAAAAAAATTGTTATAATTAACTATAGCTGTTGATATTAATAAATTCTTGATTTCGATTGGCTAAGAGCAACAATTAAAAAATTAGGCTAGAATTATTCAAAAATTTACTAATGAAATCACAACTACCTATTAAGAGGTTGTCTAAAGCAGAGTTAGATTCACGTGATTATAGTCAATCAAATTATAGAATTTTGATGAGCGAAGCAAACCAAAAAATAAAAATCAAAACCCTGAAAAATACAAAAAACAGCAATCTAAACCTACCTTGGGTAGGTTAATAAAAATGATAGAAAGGCAATTTTGCTTATATTTAACTATCTAAAACCAATTCTGACCCTAATATAGGATGCACTCACCCTAAAGTTAGTCAAGAAAATTATTAAATATAAGGTTATATAAATTTTACTTCCCTTTAGACATCTCCTGTAAAAATTGTTTCTGGGTCAATTTTACTATAATATGAGTTTATTTTTTTAAAAAAATTTATTTTTGTAATGAAAAATTAAAAAGTTAATTCTAGTTAGAAATTAAAAACAATTTGTAATATGGGCTAAAATTTGAATTTCAGCCGTTAGCCAATCAAGATTAAAAATCTGCTAGTTTAATTTTGTGCAGTTATGGTTAATGTTGCCATGACTAATAATTTGTAACCATATTAGTTATTGTGTGATTAGATTGGGAATTTTGTGCCAGTAGACCGTTCCTTTTTTGACATTTCATTTAAGATATTTTGAAGAGATTTTATTAGTCACATTATGTTTTATTGGTATCAGTGTTTCGTAAAGAAACAGATCTGCTTATTAAAATTATGCTAGAATCAGGAAAGTCATTAGTGTCTAACAAAATTATTATAAAACAATACTGATTTAAATATAAATTTTTATTTATACTTATTTAATTAAGCACTCATAGTAAATTGCATTATCAGGGTGTGGCGACTTAGTGAAGTTGGTAAGTTGTTGCACCGCCAAGCAGCAGAACAAGAGTTCGAATTCTACTGGCGATGAAATTCAGAATTTAGAGAATGCGTTATGATATATTGTGTAACATCCTGAGGGGTAGTAGCACCTGTAATCTTGGTCATACTAGCTTGTTCTAGAAGGCTATGTAATGCATAAGTTATGCAGCCATATAAATCCATAGCTTGGACTCACAACACATGGAAGCCTACTTGGCAAGTTCCGAGTAGAGAGGTAGCACAGATCTTTGATAGTACTATGTAAAGTAAGGATCCAGGATGTAGGAGATATTTTCCGATCATGTGAAATGGTACAAAATTTTTTATGTTTATATTCTTTAGGATTAGCTCATATATTAGGGTTAATAATAGCAGGTTAATAGTAAAATTATTCGAGGAAAATTTTTATTTAGAGCACAAACAGTAGTTTCTTATGTAAATTTTTGAAATAATGGCGATTTTTATCAAAATGAACGTTTGTTTTGAATCTTCCTGATCGTGTAATGTTACTCCAAATCATGATTCACTATTGGTTAATTTTCTATAGATCATCACGTGTTCGGAAAATGTCATCTACATCCTGGTGCGTTTTTATATAAAGGATGATCATTGGTAACTGGACACTAGCAGTAAACCGGATGAGGACCGGGTGTTTGGCAAGGCACTATACCAACTAGGCCGTATATATACAGATAAGGGCCCCGTATAGATGAGGAAAAAGATTTAATCAGAATACTAAAGGGACACCCACTAGTTTCTTCCTGGACTATCTGGATTGGGAGTTTAGGCACTGTTGGTAAAGGAAAGTCAGTGATAGTCTGTAAAGTGTGTACTGGGGTTTGGGTAAACTCTGCAAGGGCAGAAGTAGGTAACGATAGTGGCTTCAGCTCGCAAGTACTTGTTCTCAGACTCGGTATAAGTTACCGAAAGTCTAGGTTAGCTAGATTGTGAGTATAGAAAGCTCTAGCTAACAATGCCTCGAAGATAAATTAGTTCTAAAGGTATCGGAAAAGCATCTGGGACTTCTTATGACAGGTAATTGTAGCAGAGATGTACTGGTGATACAAGCTAGATTTGCATGTAAAGATACCAGAGTTCCATAAGCGAGCCCCTTACCTATAACTTGAATAAAAACCGTAGTCTCAAAGAGGCTAGTTATAAAATTAAAAAAAAAAAAAAAGTAAATTGCATTATCTGGTGATCACAAAATTGATCAATCGCAGAATTAGCATAGTATATATTTATTTTTTTATTTTGGTTGCTATTAGCGATATAAACTTAATTAAAAATAATTTGATATTATAAAATCTAAAAATCAAAATTAATAATATTTTTGCATTTTCGCATTGTTTAATGTGTAATGTGCATAATTTTTTTTTAATTACGATTAATTTGTAAAAGTTGATTTGTTAATCATATTGATAAAACAAGTTCAAAAGAGATTTCAATATAATAAAAATAAACAAATTATATGATTTATCAATGATAAAATTATTTTGCATTACCATAACAAATTTTTGTTTTTATAATTCTAAACTTAATTATGATATATCGTAATTATTTTAATTATTAAAGCAATAATATTTTCGAAAACTAAAATTATTTTAATATTTACATCCCTAGTCCCATAACTTGAGTGCCACTATTACATCTATCAAATTAAACATTCATTTATTTGATAGCAAGAAACCCGATATTTAAATTAAACTTTCAAGTTTATTAATGACTTTTATAAAACAGTGATTATATTTTGAGCAATTCTTTTATATTTTGATTATTTGTATAGTTGCAACAATTTTTTCAAAAGTTTGAACCCATACTGTAAATTTTTTTTTTTAATACTTTATTAAACTTTGATGTATAATATATTATATTTAATGGATATAAAATTACTGATTGAGCTTTAAGGATCAAAACACCAATGTTATAATTATCTGTATTAATTTTGATACATTTGCATTAAAAATGTTTCAATTATTCATCTCTTTTCGGTCCTTTATAATATAGAATTTTACAATATCGAATCTTTATAATATCGAATCTCTATAATGTTTGAATCTTCACAATGTCTTTACAATGTTAAATCTTGATATATCAAGAATTTTTGAAGTGATGTGTTGTACAGATAACTTCAAAAATTAAACAAATAAAAATAATTTAATACATATTACCTGTGTCTATATTATTTTTAGCTGTGTACTATTTATTTTCTGGTTTGTATTTTTACTTCACCACCTATATGCTTTATTTGGCTTTTTTGTATTATACAGTCTTTGTTTGTAGTAACATTAGATTAGATATGATGTCGAGAAGCGTGTATAAAAGATATGACGCTTTGAACACAAGAGATTGGAATAAATATGATAGATTGAAAAAGGTTAAAGTGCATTATTGAAAGAATAGATGTAAATAGATAATATCTAGTTTGTATATGATAAGATAAATATAAAACCTATAATAAAGTTCTGCAAAGTTCATTGTCATAAATTCTTGATTACTAAAGCACCTATTTAGTAAAAAACAATTTATCTATTAATATATTTTAATTTTCCTATTATTTCATAATTATATCGTTGATTATTACCTTAAAGTGTTATAATCATATATAAGTTATTAAAGAATTATTTAAAAAGAATATAATTAAAAAATTAGAATAGAAGAAATGATATAGCAGAAAGCTCAATGGTTATTAATAGCCCAATGATTGAAAGTCCAATAGTTGAAAGCCCAATGGTTGAAAGCCCAATGGTTAAAAGTCTAATCGTTGAAGACTTAATTATTAAAAGCCTGATAAAAGAGATTCAAATCGAGGTAAACCAAACGGATAAAAGTTCAGTTTTATGAGATACTCTAAAAAAACGTAAAAATAGAAAAAATAAATTAACTGAGCAACATGATGTGCATTTTTCACATGATTGAGAAAGAAAATGATGAAAAAGAGCAGAAGAGGCATTACATAAATTTGAAACAAACCTTACAGAACTTGAAGCAAATTTTGAAGAGGATATTAATCGAGATCACTGGTCAGAAATTGATGTACGCGCAGATAAATCAGAGATAGTCTAGCCTTTTACAGTTATTGATGACACAGATGAACAAGAGATAGTCCAGCCTTCTACAGTTATTGATGAATTTGATAAGGTTCTTTTGCAACAGTTTTATAATAAAGTGGCAAAGCTAAAACACAAATCTTGTCCCATATGCAATGAACGTTTTTCATCAATAACACTTGCTGTGAAAGAATGTCGTCGTTGCTATAATGAGAAAACCTTACTAAAGAAATTCTCATTTGATAACGATATGGATCCAAAAAAAGTACCTGAAGAGTTTAAAGAACTTACTGAAATTGAAGAGATGTTAATTGCACAAGTTTTTCCTGTTATAGTGGTTTACAGGCTTTGTAAAGGACAGCATAGATATAGAGGAAATGTCATCAATTTTTCTCAAGATGTAGAGAAATTTACTACTCGTCTCCCTTGGCATCCATCTTCATTAAATGTGCTTATTATATGTCAGCAATCCAATAGAGACCTAACAGTATTTAGAGATTTTAAAGTTTGTCAAGATAAAGTTACTCATGCATTGTGTTAGTTAAAGATGAACAACACTTATTATTCAGATATTATTATAGATGATGAAAATCTTCAATCTCTGCTAGAAGACAGTTTTATTAACGATCAACTTCAAATTAATCAATTAGTAAACAATGAATTTAATGAAGAAAATGAAAAAAATGTAATTACAAGTACCTTTGTACCCTTCTTGCTGTCAAATAATCGAAAAGATACTGCTATAAATAACACAATCAATAGACTATTAACTAATAGTGATACTATTGAGTGGCCAACAATTGATAGCAATCCTATTAATGAATTTCAAACATCAGGATACATTGCATATGCATTTCCAACTCTTTATCTAACCGGGTATGCTGACCTTTGTTCAGTATGTATTAGAACCGTTAAACTAGCTGAATATTTTAAACATTTGTTGCTATATATAGATGGAAGGTTTGCTCGTCATGCTCATTGGCGGTATTTTGTACTTAATTCACAGATAAGATGGTGAGTACTACAGGAAGGAAGAGTATATGTTAAACAAAATTTTAATGATAATCAGCTTACAGTTGCAGAAATACAGGAAATAATACTGTAGCTGATAGTAATAAACATATGGCTGATCAGATTATATGATTTGGTTTGAATATATACAGATCAAGATAATTTTGAAATGCGAGACATTAGGAATTGTCAGACATGATTAAGCAATTAGGTTCGCAAGGCTTAATATTCTTTACTTTCAGTACTACTAATCTACACTATCCAGAACTTCATGCACTTATATCTTTTAACAAAAACTATCATCAAAACATCGTTGACAATCCTTATCTTGCTACTTGGTTCTTTAACAAATGGTTTGAGATTTTTTAATGATGTACTAATAAAGAAATAGAAATTGGAAAATTGGTGATATAGATTTGAATAGCAACTTCATGGTAGTGTTCATGTATATAGAATTGGAAAAATAAAAGATGTACCTAAAATTGAATGAGAACAATTAAAGGATGATGAAGTTAAATTGAGAGAGATAACAAAATATATTGACTCTTTGGTTACTACAATTAATCTGGGACCTAATGCCCTTGTTTTGAATTGCCATCCATGCCAAAAATATCGTGAAGAACTACATGATGATTTATAAGATTATATTGAATTAGTTAACAAGTTGCAATAGCACACATGGTGTAGTCCTTCATATTGCTTTCATAACCATAAAGGACAACAATCTTGCAGATTCAGATTCTCTAAAGAGGAAAGTAATTCTACTTTCTTGCGTGATAATAGCCATAATAATCCTGAACTTGTAATAGCAAGAATACTTAATAATAGTAACACTACTGATAGATTACTTGCACCAGTCCAGAACTTATTGCTTCATAGTATTTCCGAACGTAATATATCCGCTCAAAAAACTTGTTATCTACTTCTTAGAATTCCTCTTTATCATTCAAGCCATGTCTTTGTTTTATTAAATCTCAATAAAGAAACAGCTCGTTGGCTTTGTAGTACAGGTGTTAGAGAAGATGAAAATTATAGTGAAGTTAAGAATGTTGGATAGACTAATCGATCTATTTTAAAAATATATTGGGACAGGCCTTCTGCATTTGAAAATTTTTCATTATATAAGTTATATCTTATACATAGGTTTATTAATAATAGATGAAAAATAAGTGATAAAGAAAATGTTATACGAATTTGGCTATGACTATCACTATTGCGAGATAGGCTGAATTGAGAGGAGTTTTGCTGTTTTTAAGTTCTTCTTCATGTTCTTCACCGGGATATTCAAGAACTGACTCAAAATAGTACAATTTTATAGTTAGTATTATATAATCGCTATTCTAAAGAAATCAATATCGATCTAATTGACTTACTTGGACTACCTGTAGATAATAATGAAAGCAAAATGACAGATGATGAAAGTGAAAAAAAAAAACTTGAAGATAATTAACAGGATGAATGCTGATTTGACTGGATGCTTCTTGCGAAGATGAGTCCTAATCTAGTATTTGATTGCACTTCTAATTTTAGATATTGTGATATTGATCAAAATTATGACTGGATTAATGATACTAGGCAATATTATTTTGATACTGACCTCAGAGAAGTAAGCTCTTTCGTGCAAAAAGTATCTAATTGTGATGAATTAAATAATGAAATAGAAAGAAATAAAATCTCTAACACTGACATTATAGATTATCAGAATTCTGATACTGACCTCGGAGAATTAAGCTCTTTCGTATAAAGAGTATCTAATTATGATGAATTAAGCAATGAAATAAAAAGAAATGGAATCTATAACACTGATATTATAGATTATCAAATTTTAAATGATAAACAAAAAATAGTTTTTAAGTGAATAGAGTTGCATTATCACAGCATTCTTATGGGCTGTCAAGTTGAATCACTTAAGATTATCATTATAGGGACTGCTGGTATGAAAAGTCATTTCTAATTAGAGCAATCAGAAGTTGACTTCTTAAAATGGCAGGAACCATGTCCAATTCGCCTGTTTTAATACTTGCTCTAATGGGTGTTGCGGCTTTTAATATTAATGGGAAGACAATTTATTTAATTCTTTCTATTCCAATACCTATTAGGAATAATAAACTTGATATAACTGGTGAGCGATTGAAACATTTACAAAATAGGTTATAGCACGTAAATTATTTTATAATAGATGAAAAAAGTATAATAGAACATTGGATGCTTGCCTTGGTTGATTTACAGTTGCGTTAAGCTTTTCCTGAGCACAAAAATTAACCATTTGACAAAAGATTAATTATCTTGTTTGGTGATTTTGATTAGCTTCCTCCTGTGCTTGATCACTCCATATATACTACAACTATTTTGAGAGATTCACTATTCAATAATGGTATTGTAGCATATAGACAATTTCAAAAAGTGTATAAACTCAATACCATTCAGCATCAATCTGATAACTCTGAAGAACAAAAGAAATTTAGGGATATTCTCTTACGATTGCACAATGGCAAATCGACTATTACAGACTGGAAAACACTTGGTATACGGTTTGATGATAAAATAAGTAAAACAGAATATAACTGATTTTTAGATACTATGTTCATTATGGCAAAGTGAACAGATATTAATTTAATAAATACTGATAAACTAAGATCATTAAACATTCCTGATACAAAAATTCTTGCAGTACATCAAAGGGGTGGTAAAGAAGCTAAAAATGCAGATTCAGATGAGGCAGGAGGTCTTGAGGTAGAATTATTGTTAAGCAGAGGTGCAAGTATTATGCTAACTGCAAATCTATGGACAGAAGCTAGATTAGTTAATAGTTCAATGGGAACTATTCAAGACATTTTGTTTGAAGAAGATCAAAGTCTACCTTTACATCCTATAGCAGTTTTTATCATATTTGATAATTATACAGGACCTATTATAAGTACAGTAAATGGCACAAAAGTTATCCCGATTGTACCAATCCAACGTAAATAAGAGGGCAAATTTGAAATAATATGTTTATATTTGCAGGTTCCTATTCGTCTCGCATAAGCTATTATAGTATACAAAAGTCAAGGCCTTATACTATCGAAAGCTAAAATAGATATCAGCAGCAAAGAATTTGCTGCCAGGCTTTCTTTTGTAGCAACATCTCAAGTCTGTTCCCTTAATGATGTTACAGTACCATGGCCTTCTTAATAGCAGTACTATAACAATGACACAGCTACAGAGATCCTTTACAGGTTTATAGCAGTGTCCAACAGATAAGTATAATTTCTGCTTCTTGGAAAAACTATACCCTTCTGTCTGTGGCAGTTCAGGCAGACAATAGTTTATAGATAAAATATATGTTTATTAAAGATAAATAAGATAGGCTATCCTTAGGTTTCTATTCCCAAAGAATCCTATAATATTACAAGAGAAAATTTAGAGAAGAAGGAAGTGAGGTGGACAATAACAAGTCTGTTGTTATTTCAGGTCTAATGTTAACTTAGAGAAATTTACAGCCTTTTTATATCTTTAGAGCTAATTGCTAATCGTTGCAGCTAAGCGTAGTTTACTTAGTGCTAAGCACTAATTGTAATCGCTAATCATTAAGCGTTAAGCGTTAATTGCTAATTGTTAATTGCTAAGCGTAATTGCTAATCGCTAATCGCTAAGTGTAATCACTAATCACTAATCACTAATTGCTAAGCGTAATCGCTAATTGTAAATTGTTAAGTGTTAAGCATTAAGGCTAATTGTCATTCATGTCTTTTTAAATTCTTCTTTAAGATAAATATAATAATAACTAATAACTATTAAAATACAAATATCGAAATAATAAAATAATACTAAAATAAAATAATAAACTAATAAAATAAAACTGTTCTATAACAGCACCTAGCATATAAGTAGATTACTTAATTAGGTACCCAAAAGGTGCAGATATAGCTAGAATGTATTCTCATCAGAATGTACTTGTCTGGAGCCCCTTTGAAAAGGGCACCATATAATCCTAATATCTAATAAAAGCGATAAGCCGAAGAGGCTAACCTTAACTACAAAAAAAAAAATAAAATAGGCTATTCTTAGATTTTTATTTTTAAAGAATCTTATAATATTGCAAGAAAAAATTTAGAAAAAAGGGAAGTTTATATCTAAGTTAAATAATAACAAATCTGATGTTAACTTGGGAAAATTTATAGCTTTTTTATATTTAAAGCTAATTGCTAAGCATAGTTTACTTAGTACTAAGTGCTAATTATAATTGCTAATCATTAAGTGTTAAGTATTAATTATAAATCACTAATCGTTAAGCATAATCACTAATTGTTAATCACTAAGCATAATCACTAATTGTTAATCACTAAGCATTAAACGTTAAGGCTAATCATTATACATATTTTTAAATTTTTCTCTAAGATAAATATAATAATAACTAATAACTAATAAAATATATATATTAAAATAATAAAATAATACTAAGATAAAATAATAAACTAATAAAATAAAACTGTTCTATAATATTTCTGTCCTCTTATAAAAATTTGCTTTGCAAATTTTTAATTAAAGACTGATACTCCCTATTAATAAACTTGATGATATATATGACTGTAAAGTATTGAGTTTGATACAACAATTCTTTAGATTAAATATTAAAAATTTGTTGAAGATGAGTGTCTTCTTTTCAAATATCTTAAGTTTTTCAAAAGCTTTGAGAAGCTTAAAAAGGTTCACGAATTTGTTGTTATTCATTAGTCTGTTTCTGGATGAGAATTCTTAAATACAGATAAGCTTTAATAATTTTTATCTGCTTAGATCAAATATATCCTTTATCTTCTAATTGTTATAAAATCTTGGTTAATTGATCTTTTCAAGTTCTACTAATAAAAGAATTCAAATACAGTATAACCTCGATATAATGATAACAAAAACTATTTCTAATTTTTGTGTTTAAATTAGTCCTGATATAACGAAATTACTAATAAAGATTTGATATAACGAAAAAACCTTTAGCTTCAGAGCTTTGTTATATCGAGGTTATATTGTAAGTATTTAATTGAAGAGTTAGAGTTTGGGTTAGTTTATTTTGAACGTTTTAGTAGACTTCAGTATCTGATTTAGTTTCTGGTTCAGAAGAAGTAGTAATTAAAGATGAGTCAATTTCTGGTTTTTCAGTTAGAATAGTATCCAAAAAGATATTTGTGTCAATAAGTTCAGATAGAAGGTTTACTGCAGTATTGACTAGTATAGTAATATTACTAGTATCATTAGGGTTGTTAAAATTCTACAAAAAAATACTTTGAGAATAAATCTCTAAATTGTTCTGAGTAGTGGAGTCTTGTTTGTAAATAATAAAAAAGTATTGGAAGGGAGCTTGAATAATTACAGATTGCAAGGTAGTATTATGCATTGTTAATTATGTATAAATTAGTGAATTTCTGAATAAAGAGTATATTTATAATTTTTAAAGTTGTATGATTATCTGTTTTGTAAAATTTTGTTTTTGTCTCTTTCCATTTAATAAAATTTTTTCTAAAAATTAAAGATTTTTAATAACAATGATTGGTTCTCATATCTGTTTTTTATAATAATTTGCTAATTAGTTACTATTATAATATTTCTGTAAAACTTTTACTTCTAATATTTGAAGTTTATATGTATCATTATTCATCACAAAGTATAACTAAGTACTTACTAAGTATTTATTAAATACTTATTACAATTGCTTATTAAATTGATTTCAATGCACCTTATACCCAGTAAATATTTAAACTAAGTATTTAGCAAGTGCTTATATAATTATAATAAGTATTTAATAAATATTTATCGGGTTTACTAAAATGCATTATAGATGTTGAACACCATAGTTGCTATCTCAAAAACATACTAGTTAACACATCTCTGGAGTATTAAATAAAAATGTTTAGAACCCCAAAAAACATTATGCTAACTAAAATTTGGGCCTTTATATCTAACCCCTATCTTATTCTAAAGTTGTACCTTAACTCTAAATTTTAGCCAAAAACATATTAACACCAACAACACCTATGGTGCATTTTATAATTACTGAATATTTATAATAAGTACTTAATAAGTAATCTCAATAAAGAAGTATTAAAATACTGTAGCAACTTCTTATACTTTGTGTTCTTATAATAAAGTTAAACTTGTAATATAAATTAGGTTAGGCTAAAGTTAAAATTAAAGTTAGTATTAGAGTTTGTGTAAGGTAAAATTGCGAGAAGACCATTTTTGCTTATGTTACACAAGAGGTGTTACCTAGTTAAAATTTTGAAATATTTGCAATTTTAGAATTGAAAATACTAAGTAAATGAGACACTGATTCAATAAAAATATCAAAGTTATTATAGTA